GCAGTAAATGATGCCAGGGCAGACAGGATAATTAGGGACGGCTAGCGCAGATAGCCCTCGTGTAGCTTTGCGCGAAATTCACAAGAAACTAAATCTTTTGCTTTTCATAGTCTACCGATCAGGTCACTTTGTCACAGATTAGAGTTTCATAACTAAAATGTTAATGATTTTTTGTTAAGGACTACAATGTGTTTTTTTTTAATTTATTCAACTTTGGTATCTTTGTCAGGGACTTCAAGGTATTCTTTACAAGATAGTTTCCCTTCATCTCTATAACATTAAGTTACTTTGTCACGAGCGACAGGGTATTTTGTCACAGAATACGTGATTGTTTTTATTTTTGAACTCTACGTCTACATCGTAGAATAAAAGTTATTTTTTCAAATCTTGAGTTTGTTTTTTTCCTAGAACAAAGCCACGTTGGGCTGTCTGCTGTGTCCACCGCGGATAATCGAACCCCCGGATTTTAGCGTTTTAAGTCCGTAGACTTACCGCTGTTCCACCGTAGGACTCAAAACTAGTGTTGATAACTTTGTTACAGACCACATGGTAATGTTTATCTCTGCCTCTGTAGATTTGGTGACTTTATCACGATTTATACAGTGATTGTGTTGTACAACTATACAGATTTTGTGATTTTGTCATGATATATATATATAGAATCATTTTGTTTCTTTCTACCTTTGGTGATTTTGTCAAAATCTATACAACGTTTTTGTTTTCTCCACCTCTACAGTTTTAATAATTTTTTCACGATCTATAAAGTGATTTTGTCTTCTCCAGCTCTACAGACTTGATAATTCTGTCACGATTTATTAAATGATTTTTTTCTTCTCCAGTTCTACAAATCTGAAGAATTTGCGTTTTATATAGAGTGATATCATCTTCTCCAAATCTACAGATTTAGTTATATTTTCCTGATCGATAGGATGATTTTGTTTTATCCTACTCTACAGGTTATTAATCTTGTTACGATCTATAGTGTGAGCTTTTTTTTTTAAGTACAAACTTTGAGCTCATAGCTCCATCTCTTGACCAATTTGAGATCTAATTACAGCCGCGGCTATTGAGGATTCTTTCTTGTTTCAACTCTACAGATTTGGCGATTTTGCCATGATCTATTCAAGAAATTTTTCCTCCAGCTCTAAATATTTGGATATTTCATCACTTTGTTTACTCAGAACCTAAGGGTTTGGTTAACTTGTTAGATTAGTGTAGTTTCTTTTATTTTTGTTAGGATATTTTAAAAAGAAATTTATCAAATACCCCCTATATCCCTTTTTCAGGGATGATTTCGGCATTGTGTTTGTCATGCTAGATCGGTTTCTTGTGGATCTTCTCCTACTTAGAATTCCTAGACATCGTTATATCGAACTCTAGACAGGAGAATTTCCGTAAAGAAAACCACTCCACCGTATCGCCTACATCCATCCTGGAGCTTGTTTGTTAAAACGGACGTAGATTACATACTCGAACACGTTAAATCAATTAGAAACAATACAAATCTTATAAGCATCTTTTTCCGATTTTAACATTTCAACTTCGTCTGCAGATATCAGAGAACAAGACTTCCAGGTAAGTGTACTCTGGTGTCAGCATATTTTGACTCTAGCATCAGCTGGTGTGTAGTATACGTGCTGCTAGGTACGAACGTTCCATTTTCAAGCAGTAATGGGAAAGTCAGTCAACTGATTTAAGAATATGTGTGTTGAGAAGCAATGTGTGTTCTTCACTAGCGCTGTTTGGAAACACAAGGTCACGTGTAGCAAGACCACAACATCACTGATACGACCGTACATAAATTTACTGATTTCATACATTCTTCTGTGGATGCTCATTCCGTGAGGTCCGAAGTAAATGGACAACAGAAACAATTACACTCTCACCCAATAAGAGCTCGTTTGACCGTAGGTGTCTTGTCCTTCAAACTAAGAATTCTAATTACGTAGACGAACATGAGGATTAGCGCAATCCGAAAGCAAACTTGACGATAAGTAGGATGTATAATATCCAGTGAAAACTGTGGGAATCTGGTATCTGGTATGTTTTTTTACTTCGGATGTTCGCGCAAAGATAACTACAACAGGGTGTAGCCGTCCCTAATTTTGAACTGATAGCCTAGAGGGAAGCTAGCTAGTCAACAGCACCCATTAACTCTTAGGCCACTCTTATCGATAATAGAATAGTGAGACTTAACTTTACCTCTTATAACGCATATCACGGCCTATTTTACAGCAACTAGGTCACGCCCGGTTTGGATCTGATGTTTTTAAACAAGATTGAAGATCAATCACAAATCATATACTTTTGAACAATATATATTCAGTAACTGCGGTTTGAGGAAATTATAGTCCTACAGACAAAAAATTAAAATTACATCATTCTCCAACTCATAGATTATATGTATGCGTTTAAACACAACCTATAGTAACAGACTGACCTACTCCTTGGGCACGAATTCAATGTCTGGAAGACATCGTGCTACTTGTAATTGTAGAATTTAAAACAATATAAGAATGTATGTAATAATATTTTAGTTATTCTTTAGGAATTACTTTTTTTAAACTCTACACATATTAATCGTAAATGCCTACTGACAATATAATTATTTATTTATTTATTACATCCAGTGTCTCCCTTACTTTTATCTATTTATCTGTCCTTTACCAAGCATTAGAAGTGTCATTGTATGTGTGTGTGCGCGCGCGCGTGTCAGTTTTAATCATCACATAATGTAGCATCCAGTAGCACGTGCTCATATAACTTTGATTTGAGTTCACTCTGAGCAACATCCTATCTGTAGACTTCAGGCGCCAGCATGAGACCAAGGTTTTAGAGATTGTAGACAGTAGACAATCGGATTATAGCCCTCGGCGGGAAGGAATGATTTCCCTGTGGAATCTCAGGTTAAAAACGGGCCATCAGGGAAAGCATTGAACATGGTTGCTCGTCGGCATGAGCTCATTCATTGGCTGAGGCACTCCAACCCGATGAACTACACTTCCATCTATTTGTTTCTACATTTCCATTGGAAAAAAACTTTTAAGTCTGAAGAAAGTCAAAGAAAGGAAAATAATCCAAATAACCTTTCTTGCGATGTTTATTCTTAACTCGTAGATACCCTTGTGGTTTAGTGCTATTAACGTGAAAAAAAATGTGTGTTCAAATAAACTTTCGTCCAGAGTTATTAACCTTAAAAGCTATGAGTTAAAATACTCATACGGTTTAGAATTATTAACCTTCAAATTCGAGTAAATACAACACAATTTTTCACTAAGTTAACATCATCAGGTGAATAAAAATATAGTACATGTATTGTAAACTAAACCTTTTCTGGGGTCCAGCGAGTAGTTTAATCCACCGACAAGCAACTAGTCGAGACTTATATGTAACATATTTTCACACGTTAGATAATTTTTCTGTTCAACTCAGCAGTCGAGCTAGTTCGATAATAGATTTTTCAGTTTGTAATTTCATTCCAGCCTTAGATACTAGCGGGCTATTAGAGGGCTACACCTTCTGTTCAGTCAATAAATGGATAAAAACTGAAATCTTGAAGATATAATTTTTGCGTAAGAAGACCTAGAGCAAATGAAAAGCTTGTGTGGAAAATATCATCCAAAAAGCTTTATATATAAATATCATAGTTATGCTAAACCACTGGTGTGGATTTTGTTTATCCACCTACCGTTTCACTTTTTTTTTTTTTTTGGTTTACTTACAACGCTAGAAACAGGGTTTCGATATCCATGGTGGACAGAGCAAAGACAGCCCATTGTATAGCTTTGTGCTTAATTCTAAACAAACAAATATTTCCTTCGTTATAAAGCTAAAGATGTACTTAGCATTGCTACGAGAACTATTTATAAATATTTATCGTCTCAATCCAGTGGGTGGTTTGATTCCCCACCATGCGTCTAATATACAGTTATTCCTTTCACCTTTTTCGTGTTTCTGGTTTTACATTTCAACATATTTGCTTGAACCCATTTTCATAACTGTTTGAATATTTTCTCACAATTATCTTACAGAATAGTTTTTACTTGGAGTATGATTAAATCGAATTGTTGTTCAAACAAACAACAGCAAAAAAAAGCAGAAACTGTTGAAAAGCAAAAGTTTATTTACATGAAAACGTAGTTGTACTGGATCTTACAGTTGAAAAACAAATAAATTACAGTTTTCAACGACGCCACGGTAGCATTACAATTATCAGCGACCTCGTCCACTTATTTATCAACCATTGAATACTTTAAAATATGTATTGGGTGCAATTTGCTGGATAATTAAATTTGAAGCTATGTTGGATGAAGTTTGAATCTATGTTGGGTAAAGTTTAAGCTATGTCGGATAAAATTTGAAGCTATGACAAATTAAATTTGAAGCTATGACAAATTAAATCTAAAGCTATGTTGGATGAAGTTTGAATCTATGTTGGATAAATTTTGAAGCTCTATCGGATAAAATTTGAAGCTATGGCAAATTAAATTTGAAACTATGTTAGATGAAGTTTGGATCTATGTTGGGTAAAGTTTGAAGCTATGTCGGATAAAATTTGAAGCTATGACAAATTAAATCTAAAGCTATGTTGGATGAAGTTTGAATCTATGTTGAGTAAAGTTTGAAGCTATATCAGATGATATTTGAAGCTATGTCGAATTAAATTTGAAGCTATGTTAGATGAAGTTGAATCTATGTTGGGTAAAGTTTGAAGCTATATCGGATAAAATTTGAAGCTATGACAAATTAAATCTGAAGCTATGTTGGATGAAGTTTGAATCTATGTTGGGTAAAGTTTGAAGCTATGTTGGATGAAGTTTGAATCTATGTTGGGTAAAGTTTGAAGCTATATCAGATGATATTTGAGGCTATGACAAATTAAATTTGAATATGTGTCGAATGAAGTTTGAAAGTATAACGGATGAAATTTGAGGCTATGTCAAATGAATTTTGAAGCTATAGCGAATGAAGTTTAAAGCTATAATATAGTTTTAGCATCTGAAGAATTTATTAACTACATTCTGAGATTGTGCGTTTTGTTCTTGTGCTAAAGGATATACCAGTAGTTCAGTAGCAGTAGGGTCGGACCTTGAATTGGCGTCTAGCAAATGTTTTATGATTGATTTTATACAATTTGAATCGGATGATTCAGCGTCTGAATGATACCACTTCGACATCCTTGAACGTTTCGAAATATTCAAGATGGCGGCAAAAACGACTGCCAGAACAAACATTTGCCCATATCTCAGCATCTACTTGCAATATCGCAACAAAATATTTATCTATACCTAGGTTTTTAATGACTCTAATTCCATCTTTTTACTTTTAATTGCTCCTGGATCAATTCTTTGTCCAACATGGTGGTCATGATGGCTATAAATGCCTATTATACCGCTATCTTGAACCATGATCAACATTTATTATAAATACAATGTAGACCTGTCATAAACA